CTCTCCATATTTCACAAATCACAATATGTTTATTAACCAAAGGCCTGGTGTGAAGATGGGATATATAGGTCCACTCCTGCTGGTACCTCCCCCAGTAACGGTCAAAATTTTGAATATCTATGAAGCGCATAAAACACGAAATTAACATCCGATTCCATTCACACTTGTTACATCTCAATATTTCCATCAACACGAGATCTGTTATAAAGAGGGTAGAGGTCGGACCATTCCTTCTGGTACCTCCCCCACAAAGGGTCAAAGTTTTGAATAATCAGAACGATCATAAAATTCGAAATAAGTATCCGGTTGTCTTCATATTACACACATCGCAATATTTTTATTAAGCCAAGGTCTGCTGTGAAAATGGAAAATGTCGGTCCACTCCTTCTCATACCTCCCCCACAAAGGGTGAAAATTCTGAATATCTATGAAGCTCATAAAACACGAAATTAATATCCGATTCAAGTCAAACTTGGCACATCTCAATATTTCCATAAACACAAAATTTGTTATAAAAATGGTGGAGATCGGACCATGTCTTCTGGTATCTTCTGGTTTATGTCTAGGTTAGCCAGATATAAGCCATCGGCCACCTTCTCCTAAGCCAGGCCGGTGGCTATTTTATCGACGAGCCCACCAGGCTCTTCATGAGCTTATTGTAACTTAAGTGTATCCCCCCAATAAATATTCGGAACCCAGTTTCTAAAGATCCATTTTTTTGGAACCCAGTTTCAAAAGATCCAGATTTTGAGAATTATCTAAAAATTCAACCGAGTTCCTAAATTTTTATCTCCTAAAAATTAGCCTTTATTTTTGTACTTTTCCTTGAAAAACATTCTTCTTCAAATAAAAACAAAGAGTTTAAAAAAACGCCAGATAATCTCTTTTTTCACATAACCACAAGAAAATCATATCAGAGCCATTCACACACATACACACACATATATATATACATATTGTATCCATTCCAAGATTAGATGACACACAAAAACAATTTAATATTTTTATTTTATAGTTCTACTTATCACAATTAAGAACCTCAAACATTCGGAGACGACAACGACGACAACGCCAACTATCACCCACCAGATAAAACGCATAAACCAAACAAAAGCATGTTGCGAGCAACAATGAACAGAGATCTGTCTGTCCGGCCGTCCATCCATTCATTCATTTGTCGGACTTGTAAATTCACATAAATAATGTTGATTGTGGGTCCGACCCGGTAAAATTTTTTACCATAATTATGGATGGCAGCAGATATCGAACAAACAAAGCCTAATTTTCCTCTTAGGTGTCTGGAGATAAGAGCGCCAAGAAACCACAGGAGAGCTGATTCCAAACGAAGAACAAACAATAAAATAATAAACAATTGACAATAAAAAACAATGTTGATTGTTGTTTGTTGTTGTTATCGCAATGAAATTTAAATTAAACCACAACACCAATGCGATATGGAAATACGTTGACGTTGGTTGCTCTTCGTCGTCGACGCAACCAAATGCTATCGCAGTGCATGTCAACAGTGGTGGAGAAAAGTGATGCTCACACATTTGTTATTGTGAAAATTAAAAAAAAAATTGAAAATAATTATTGTTTTATTTTTTAAAAAAATGAAGCAGCAGCAATTTTTCTAAGGGTGGGAATACATAAAGCGCATATTTGGCTGGCTTAAGTCATCGGCTGGCTTTTTTTGCAGAGGAACAAAGAAGTTGACTTAGTTGACTGTCTGGCTGCCGCCAAATCAAAAGATAACGGGATACGCAAAGTGGCGTCTCATTTGCAAAATTCCAGTGTTGCCACATGTCATATTTACATGGGAGAATACAACTATGGAGTGGACAATGGTAGGGAAATGTAGGTGCGAATAAAGCATAAAAAGATAAAGAGAAAAAAATCCGGGAAAACATGAGAAAAGAGGGAAAATCAACTTTGTTTTGTTCCCAGAGCAGGGAAAATGCCAATTAAACGTGCCAAAAATACGTTTCAGGACATTTGAAGTCGATCTAAGAATGTTCGTCCGCCCTTCTGTCAGGCTGGTGCGCACGATAACTCTCGAAGTGAGTATCCGATTTGATACAAACTTGGTACATCGTAATATTATTGCCAAACTTAGATCGAGTTCGAAGATGGGCAATATCGGTCTCCTCCTTCTGGTACCTCCCCCACAAAATGCCAACATTTTTCAAAGAAAATAATTTACTGCACAGAAGGAGAAAGGATAATCCGTTTTTGCTCCAACTTTGCAAATCGTAATATGTGCATTAGTGCTAGATCAGGTGTGAAAATTGACAATATCGGTCAACTCTATCAAGTACCTTCCCCACAGAGGGTCAAAATTTTGAATACTTACAACTCTTCTAAAATATGATGTAAGTGTCCGATTGTCTTGATATTTCACACATCCCAATATTTTTATTTAGTCAAGATCTGGTGTGAAAATGGAATATATAGGTGCACTCCTTCTGGTACCTTCCCCACAAGGGGCCGAAATTTTGAATATGCATAAAGCTCATAAAACACGAAATTGAAATCCAATTTCATTCCGACTTGGTACATCTCAATATTTCCATCAACACAAGATCTGTTATAAAGATGGTAAAGATCAGATCATTCCTTCTGGTACCTCCCCCACAAAGGGTCAAAGTTTTGAATAACCGTAACGATTATAAAATCCGAAATAAGCATCCGGTTCTCTTCATATTTGACACATCACAATATTTTTATTAACCATAGGTCTGGTGTGAAGATGAAGATATATCGGTCTACTCCTTCTGGTACCTCCCCCACAAAGGTTCAATTTTTTTGAATATCCATGAAGCTCATAAAATGCGAAATTTAACATCCAATTCCATTCAGACTTGGCAAATCTCAATATTTCCATCAACACAAGATCTGTGATAAAGATGGTAGAGAACGGACCATTCCTTCTGGTACCTCCCCCACAAAGAGTCAAAATTTTGAATTATTATTATTATTTTTATTATCATTAGTATTATTATTATTATTATTATTATTATTATTATTATTATTATTATTATTATTATTATTTTTATTATCATTAGTATTATTATTATTATTATTATTATTATTATTATATTATTATTATTATTATTATTATTATTATTATTATTATTATTATTATTATTATTATTATTATTATTATTATTATTATTATTATTATTATTATTATTATTATTATTATTATTATTATTATTATTATTATTATTATTATTATTATTATTATTATATTATTATTATTATTATTATTATTATTATTATTATTATTATTATTATTATTATTATTATTATTATTATTATTATTATTATTATATTATTATTATTATTATTATTATTATTATTATTATTATTATTATTATTATTATTATTATTATTATTATTATTATTATTATTATATTATTATTATTATTATTATTATTATTATTATTATTATTATTATTATTATTATTATTATTATTATTATTATTATTATTATTATTATTATATTATTATTATATTATTATTATTATTATTATTATTATTATTATTATTATTATTATTATTATTATTATTATTATTATTATTATTATTATTATTATTATTATTATTATTATTATTATTATTATTATTATTATTATTATTATTATTATTATATTATTATTATTATTATTATTAGTATTATTATTATATTATTATTATTATTATTATTATTATTATTATTATTTTATTATTATTATTATTATTATTATTATTATTATTATTATTATTATTATTATTATTATTATTATTATTATTATATTATTATTATTATTATTATTATTATTATTATTATTATTATTATTATATTATTATTATTATTATTATTATTATTATTATTATTATATTATTATTATTATTATTATTATTATTATTATTATTATTATTATTATTATTATTATTATTATTATTATTATTATTATTATTATTATTATTATTATTATTATTATTATTATTATTATTATTATTATTATTATATTATTATTATTATTATTATATTATTATTATTATTATTATTATTATATTATTATTATTATTATTATTATTATTATTATTATTATTATTATTATTATTATTATTATTATTATTATTATTATTATTATTATTATTATTATTATTATTATTATTATTATTATTATTATTATTATTATTATTATTATTATTATTATTATTATTATTATTATTATTATTATTATTATTATTATTATTATTATTATTATTATATTATTATATTATTATATTATTATTATTATTATTATTATTATTATTATTATTATTATTATTATTATTATTATTATTATTATTATTATTATTATTATTATTATTATTATTATATTATTATTATTATTATTATTATTATTATTAGTATTATTATTATTATTATTATTATTATTATTATTATTATTATTATTATTATTATTATTATTATTATTATTATTATTATTATTATTATTATTATTATTATTGTTATTATTATTATTATTATTATTATTATTATTATTATTATTATTATTATTATTATTATTATTATTATATTATTATTATTATTATTATTATCATTATTATTTTCATTGTATTTATTATTTTTATTATTATAATAATTATTATTATCGTTTTTATTATTATTTCAATTATTATTTGCATTATTATTCCTCTGCATGATTGTCATAACCTCACTTTTACCCCATACTGTACAAATAAAACGAATTGCATTCCACTACAATCTACTCTGTACTCTCCAAACAAAACACCAGTACCGTTATCAATGAAGTGGCAAAGAGAAGTTATGCCTTTGTTTATGTATACGACGACCACCTCCCTACTTCATTCAAGCACACCACACACACTCACACGCACACACGTATGGCTCCTCCAAAGCAAATCTATTATCAAAACTAACTCTCTCTTTCTCTTGCTACACACGACACGACACACACACATCACACAACGGAAATAATGGAGCCACTGTGTTTGTTACACAGCCATTTGCTGGGGCTGTGGTAAATAGTTTAAATACCTGACGATTAAGAGTGGCATAATTCAGTTTGCTCTGAGTAGTCGGTCGAGAGATCCACACAGTTGTGAAACGTAACGAAAGGAAGAAAAATATAAAAGTAAGAAAGCGAATTGGATTAAAGTCGTATATGACGACGACAACGACATCAATGTGGCCCCCCTATTGAAAAGTGTTTGTGTGTGTATATAGACGACGGGAGTATAGAAACCGTTCATCAATAGAGAAAAATATTGTGTGTGTGTCTTGTTGCTGCTGTTGTTGTATTACAATGTGCAAACAGCTGATTTTGTGACAACTACAGGCAAAAACGATACCAACAGAAATTGTTGGCATTTGCAAAACGGCATCTCAATAGGCCAGAGATGCTAAATAAATAATATTTTTTATGATGCTCTCGAATTTGTCAATTAGTCCAAATTCTCGTCAACATTTACATTTGAATAATTTATCAATTAATTGCCCAGAACAAAAAACACAAGAATAATAATGTATAGAGGCCCCAAAAAACAATTGCCACAAGTGTTCGCAACATAAAAATGTATACAAATTCTGAAAAAAATTGAATATTATTACTTTGCATTTTATAGGCTTTGAATAAAACAAAACCCGAAAATGAGTGCTTGGGAAAATAATGAGGAAATCAAATTGTTCCGGGAATATTTACGCATTCCCAGTGTCCATCCTGATATTGATTATGGTAAGTGTTATTTTTTTTTTTTGGAATTTTATTTTATTTATAAACTTTTCAAAACTAATCTTAAATATTCCCCATCCCCCATCCATGCTTGGAATTAATTTTCTTAATCTCTTATCATAAACTTAAGTCAATTTTTTTTCGATTATTCGATGGCTTAACACGAAATTCTATCTCATCACAAACTCTATCTCCTTCTTTATATACAGTAATGGACAAAATTGTGTGTCATTTGCACAAAAACGGGAAAATAAAAATATTTATTTATTTTTTTTTTAATCTAATTTTCAAATTGCACATATTCATAAATCCGCCAGGATAAAAGTGAAACGGATACATAAAGTTCGCCGTGGCATCAATGGATAATGTAGGGATCAATAGGTGAGATAAAGGAAAAATAATAAATGTCAAAAAAATGCGCAAACATTTTAGATAAATAGAAAATTTTTGATCTGGCTGCGGCCATATAAAGGCATAACGGAGGAAAATTGGCTTAGGTTTGTTTGGAAACCATTTCCCTTAAGAAAAATCCCACAAGTTTATAAAAAAAAATAAAAATCAAGAAAAAAAAATATTTTCTGTATCAATTAACACTTGTGACCGGAGTGTACGCTTTTGCGTTCATGCGAGCAAAACAAAGTTAGTAGTAGAATTCGGGGGGTATTTTTTGATGATTGAATGTTTGTGTCCTTTTTGACATGTTGTCTCGACAACCACATCTACCAATAAAACGATTACACTGACCCCTCCAGGTTAATGAGCGGAGGAGGTCAGCCAATTTTTTTTATGATTCTATAGCCGGAAATTGTCCAAAGATTGTTTTAGCCCAGCCAAAGTAGCCCAACAAACATCAGCGGCAGATTGGTTGTGGATGAGACCCTATCTGTCCACCCAGTGCCATAAATCGTAGAAATCCATGGTCCACCAATATTTAGGACCTGAAAGGATAAGAAGCAACACAATATAAGTATCTGGAAGCCGGGTAACCAGAGCCGTATTAGGTGGTACGCCAACAAACTATTATTTTACAATTCTAAGATAAATATACAATTTGATAAAAAAAAGTCGACCTACAAATCCCTATATTGATATTTGTACAGTAACAGTTTACGTGATAGTGGTCTGATAATCCTAAAATTAGTCCATTACAATTCTAAGATACATATGTCGTTTGATCAAAAATCGACCTATGCACCCCTACATTGAAATTTGTGCAATAATAGTATGCTTACAAAGTACGTAATATCATGATTAGCCGTCTGATAACCTTAAAAATATTCTTTTAAAATTTAAGGATTCATATGTCGTTTAATCAAAAGTCGACCTACGTATCCCTATATTTAAGTGCGTTCAATAACAGAAAGTTTACAATTTACTTGGACCGGTAAACCCTACGAAGCTACAGAGGGTATATATCATTTGATACGGCCAAAACGTGCCTCATCGAAATAACTGTCTTAGCCCCTAGATCTCTTTGGATCAAATCCGTTTCGGGATATGTGGAGTCGATCTAGCGATGTCTGTCCGTCCTTCTGTCTGTCTAGCTGGCTGGTGCGCACGATAACTCTCGAAGGGAGTATCGGATTTGGTCCAAACTTGGTACATCGTAATATTATTGTCAAACTTAGATTGAGTTCGGAGATGGGCAATATCGGCCCTTCCTTCTGGTACCTTCCCCACAAAAGACCAAAATTTTCAAAAAATATATTTTTTGCACAGAAAGAGAAACGATAATCCGATTTTGTTACAACTTTGCAAATCCTAACATTTGCGTCAGACAATATCGGTTCACTCCTTCAAGTACCTCCCCCACAAAGGGTCAAAATTTTGAGTAATCACAACTCTTATAAAATGGGATGTAAGAGTCCGATTGCCTTCAAATTTCACACATCTCAATATTTTTATTACCCCAGGGTCTGGTGTGAAGATGGAATATATCGGTCCACTCCTTCTGGTACCTCCCACACAAAAGGTCGAAATTTTCAAAATATATATTTTTTGCACAAAAAGAGAAACGATAATCCGATTTTGTTCCAACTTTGCATATCCTAATATATGCATCAGTGCTAGGCCAGGTACGAAAATGGACAATATCGATCAACTCCATCAAGTACCTCCCCCACAAAGGGTCAAAATTTTGAGTAATTACAACTCTTATAAAATGTGATGTAAGAGTCCGATTGTCTTGAAATTTCACATATCCCAATATTTTTATTAAGCCAGGGTCTGGTGTGAAGATGGGATATATCGGTACACTCCTTCTGGTACCTCCCCCACAAAGGGTCAACATTTTGAATATCCATGAAGCTCATAAAACGCGAAATTATCATCCGATTCCATTCTGACTTAACACATCTCAATATTTTCAGCAAAGCAAGACCTGTTTTAAAGATGGTAGAGATCGGACCATTTCTTCTGGTACCTCCTCCACATAGCGTTCGAGATTTTTGAAAAGCAAAACGATCAAAGTAAGCGAAAAAAGCATCCAAATTAGGTTACCTTGAATGTTTCGTACCATGATGGTGATCCTAAAATCCTAAAATTAATCTTTTACAATTCTAAAAGACATATGTCGTCCGATCAAAAATCGACCTACAAATCCCTACATTGAAATTTGTTCAATAATATAATGTTTAAAGTTTAGGTGGCACCATGATTACGTGGCACCATGATGAACTGATAATGAAAAACAATTATTTTAAAATTTTAAGTCATTTTATCCTACAGTCGACCTACATATCCCTACATTGAAATTTTTTCAATGCTTACATTTTAAGTGATGCCAGATATCCAAAAACTATTATATCAAAATTGTAAGAGACATAAGTCGTTTAATCAAAAGTCGACCTACGTATCCCTATATTGCATATATTGCCGGGAGGAGTTTTTTTTGGTCGTTAACTCCAATCGCTTGCCTCAAAAACTGTTTTTTTTTTTTTTGTAGTAAAACTTATCCAGTAAAGCTTTTTTAATATTTTCCTTTATTGTTGTGTTCCCTTCTGTCCGACCTTGTGGCACACCTTCCTCTTTAGTAATTTTTATTGATTGCAAATAATTATAAATCAGCTGTTATCTATTATTTTTGCAACAATAACACAAATGAACGAACAGCTGACTTTTAGACACAATGTTGTAACCCCCCTCTTCAGCGAGAAAGGAAACACATGCCCACATATGAGGCAGCAACATTCTGATTGCCTGCCACAATAACAACAACAAAAACACACCTAGACAAGGTCATGTTAGGGCCGACAACAATTCTCGTTATTTTAGCGTTTATTTATTTTTTTCCTTAGTTCCATGCCAAACTGAAGAACTTCCTTGACCTTTCAACTACTGCCAACCACTGATGGCAAGAGTTTTCAATTTGAGCGGCAGAAAACACATGGCATGGAGTTTACAATGGGGGATATCAAAGCCTTTTTTTAGATAAATTAATTTTTTCTATAAAATTTTAAAAATATAAAATGGAGGATATAAGGAATAATAAAAAATCTCTTATATTCTGACCGCTTTTCTGCTTTAGTTTCGTTTCCTTTTTTATGGCAAATTTTCACTTTTAATGAAAATTTCCTATTTTTAGTGAAAAAAAATATAAAAAAATTTACCCAAATACCTAAAAACTCCTCTCTCATTACCTCTTTTAGTCTCCCTCCATCTTCCACAAGTTTGTGGCTTTCACTACACCCCAGTGTCCACAAATAGCAAAACATTTAAATAAACAAAATTCCTGCAAACACATCAAGAGGATATACGCTAATAGGGTCAAAGCAAACAAAAAATCAATGCAGCCTTTTAGGCTGAGTGAGACCCCTGAGAGAATCTTGCAAAAAAAACCAACTGAAAACGAAATGTGGACTGCAATTAAATTGCAGTGTAAAAGCACTAAGAAATGTTCTTGCAAATGCCTCAGATACATTATATGTGACCTTTTAGACGCGGTATATTCATTACCAAGGTCAGTTGGATACTGTAGATACAGTATCTAGGTAGTTGGGGTGATGTGGATGCAGTATCTAAGTAGTTCGGGCGTTGCAGATACTTCATGTAAGTGGTTTGGATAATGTAGATATTAATTTTATTAGTTGGGGTAATGTAGATACATTATCCATGTGGTAAGGATAATGTAGATACATTATATCCGTTGTTTAGATAATGTAGATACATAATTTGCATTGTTCGGATAACGTAGATACATTTGCTACCTTGTTAGAATAATGTAGATGCGCTTTTCACGTTTTTAGGATAATGTAGATACATTACCCACGTTGTTAGGACTATATAGATACATTATTTGGACTGTTAGAATGGTGTAGATACAATATCCATGGGGATAGGATAACGTAGATCATTATCCGTGGTGGCAAGATAATGTAGATACATTATCTTTGATAATAGGATAATGTAGATACATTTTCCGCGGATATAGGATAATTTAGATACATTTTCCGTAGGAATAGGATACTGTATATACATATTTAGATAATCGAGATACATTATCCGTGATGATAGGATATTGTAGATACATTATCCGGACTGTTAAAACAGTGTAGATACATTATCCGTGGTGATAGGATGGTGTAGATACATTATCCGTGGTATTTAGGTAATCGAGATACATTATCCGTGGTGATAGGATATTGTAGATACATTATCCGGACTGTTAAAACGGTGTAGATACATTATCCGTGGTTATAGGTTAATGTAGATACATTATCCGTGGTGGTAGGATGGTGTAGATACATTATCCGTGGTATTTAGATAATCGAGATACATTACCAGTGATGATAGGATATTGTAGATACATTATCCGGACTGTTAAAACGGTGTAGATACATTATCCGTGGTTAGAGGTTAATGTAGATACATTATCCGTGGTGATAGGATATTGTAGATACATTATCCGTGGTGATAGGATGGTGTAGATACATTATCCGTGGTATTTCGATAATCGAGATACATTATCTGTGATGATAGGATAATGTAGGTACATTATCCGAGAT